TTTGAAGTAAATGGCTGTACACTACTCACACCAATCAGTAGTGCTTGCCAGCCAGATTGAATGGACTAAAGAACCAGATGGTTGTTTCATTTGTTCGAGGTTTATTACATCCGCTGCGTATCCAACTCTCTGATCGGAGTCAAATTTTCCTTGACACAAATCGAGTCCTGGGCTCATAACTGTCTGAATTCTTGTTTCTCTAACAGAATGCAGTATAGGATTTCATCATGAGCTGACATTGGTTAGAGAACCATTGGAAAACCTGGGAGTACTGGAAAGCTGTTTCGTCCTAGTTGGGGACTCATCATCAGTATGTACCCACTGGAGTTCGAACTCAGGACCTTCTGGTTACAAGGCGAGCTCGTATACCATTAAGCCACTGGGACCCGATCCAACGGCCAGCCCATAAATTCTAACTTCTGCAAATTCACGACATAGCGCAGCCGCTAGCCAATGTCTTCGGCGAGTATTTGTCCTCACATTCGACTTGCTGCACCCTACTGGTCACGACAATCTCGCCTAGTTAACTAGCTTGCTACTTTTCAGGCCGGTCCCAAGCCGGCGTAAAGAGGGAGGGTTGGGTCTAGGGTTAGCCACCCAACATCACAAAAGTTGTCGAACTGCTAGAGAAAATTCAACGCACAAAATATATATATTAAAAATACAAAAACGGTCTTACGTTAAATCCCTCTAAATGTCAGACAGTTAACTACACCTTCAGGCATAAACGTGGTCTACAAGAACTGGTTCGTTCACGCTATACTTGTGGCATGAAGGGCACTGAAACTGAAAATAAGTCAAATATTAAATACATTGGGATAGTTCTTTTCTCTGGCCTTTCTTGGTCCTCCTATATCTTGTCAACGTTTCTGCTTTCTTTCTTCTTGCATTACTGTCTTCACCCTCATGAAATGAACTTTATTAAGTATGCGGAAGATCTGACAGCTTTAGTGCCTGTTAACCCCCAGTTGGACTGTACACAGATGAACAGCTTTCTATCAGGAGTCAGCAAATGCTGTTTTTCTAATGGTCTTAAACTAAATCCTTCTAAATGTTAGACTGTTAATTTCAGTTTCCGATGTAAAATAAAGTTAAATGAAGCTGCCATTTCCCATGACCGTTGTAAAATTGATGAATAAATATACTGATATAAAATTCAAGTCTGAAGTTAAGTATCTTGGACTTACTCATTCTTCTGAGCTATCATGATCTTCCCATATTTCAGCAATTTCTAGCAAAACATTGCGTCCGACATTTTACATTAAGACATTAACGCGCTCGGACATAATTTAACGCCTCCTCTTACAGTTTGTCAACTATTGCATCCTACACATTCTTCTTAAATGTTCACCCTTATTCTTTCCTGGGTTGCTAAAACAGGACTATACCATAGTTCGTAGAACTCTGAAGACAGTCAGTGGGGCGAGTGGTGTTCCATCTGGCCATATCGTTGACATCGTCATTATTGATGGGCACTTAACTTCATGCAATAAATTTGCTAAACGGATTTTTCAGACTGTGAGCATCCACTTTACCCACAACTTCCACTTTGCATCTCCCCAGGTAGAACAAGAAGACACTTCAAAAAAACTTTACGCACGCACGTGTGGGTATAAAAATTCGACGATATCACATTTGGCACCTATTTTATGTGGTGAAAATAGTGTCAGGCATGAACTAACTAACCCTCTTTCCACTAGTAAATAAACAATTTTCTCCACCCTCATATCATCAATTTTTACTGTTAATATTCCTCTTATACTTAGAGCCCTCTCATCTTCTTTTTCTTTTTTCATAATTGTAAACACCATTTAAGCTCAGTAATAATTGTTATTTTGTTTTCTTTTTTCCCTCAGCATGCTATGTCAAGAGAGCATTAGACTCACTATTCTATAAGATGCCAAAATTTCCATACTGTATCGACAATAATGTTTGAAACAAACCCACTTTTATTCTTACTATTACTATTACAGTTATTATTCTCATTTTATACTTTGTACATTATTGAAATTATTCCTATTATAAATGTGGAAAAGTTCCTTTGAGTTAATTTTGTCTATACTTTGAGTAAATTAAATTTAAATTTTTAAATTCTTTTATAGCTTGACTCCACACAGTATTTTTGATACAAGTATGGAATTTTCAGCATGTGATATCGGTAGCCCAAATCTAGCCGGCCCGCGGGCCGGCCGACCATTAATATCAGGTGTGCATCGGCAGGAGATTGAACTCCGGACCATGTGCATGGTCAGCGAGAGTCATGACCAATGTGCCACCGACGCACAATGCAATATTGTGTCAAATGTTGAAAATTCCATACTGTATTATAAGTACTGTTTTCGGAATAAAGCAGACCATTATTATTATTATCAGGGCGATAGTTTCAGAACCTATTTCTCTTAATTAGAACAAAATATTTAGAGCGAACAATTGTTTTCAATAAATTCTTCTTCAGGCTCTACAATTATAAATCCATTAATTTAAGCATACAATAGCCAGCCAGTAAAGGCAAATTAGAATCATATCAGAAAGTGTATTGTGGAACAAGTATAAGATGGGATGGAACAATAGTCAGATAGTTTTTTTTAATATGCATGGTCAATGAGAACATGGGACAAAATGAGATGAAGTAATTTAATTTAATGATATGTGTGTATATATAAATATAGTCAACAGAAAATACAGGTTTCGAGAGTGTGTGTAATCAGGGTGTGTGAGACAATATGAAAATAAACCAACGAATGGGGCGGACTAGACATAAGTTCAAGGTTGAAAATAACGACAATAAGAATGATTGTAAAATAACGATGATATGGTGTAAAATTACAAGTACTATTGGTGAATGATTGTCAAATAATAATAATGAATATAATGAAGTGGAATGAACAGGATTTTGTAAATACGATAGCAAGTTAGAAAAGCACTATTTAAACCTAAGGTAATAAAATCATAAGAAAGGTCATGAAATCATAAAAGTCGAAAATGAACGATTGTCAATGAAACAGAGGAATAGAAGAAGAAGAAAATGAAAAGAAAATTGTGAAAGGAATTTATAGTGTTAATGGAGGATTTGTTGGCTTTATTGTAGGCCAAGGTAAACATAGTGGTTGAACATACTTCTTCTGTATGCAAAGAGATGGTCTTCTGGTATTAATTGCCACCGCTTCAGCTACTGATAGAAGACGTAGTCGAGCTCCTCTAGATATTACTAGGAACGCGGTAAATAACTGAGAACGCCTGGTCAAGTTTTATCGGGTGTCCAGTATCTACCAAGTGAGCTAAGACTGCACTATTTACACATTTGGTTACTCCTTTATTCAACCATACAGGTACATGTTCACGCGCGTGCATGGATAAAGATACACTTTCTGATATGATTCTAATTTACCTTTACTGGCTGGCTATTGAATGCTTAAATTAATGGATTTATAATTGTAGAGCCTGAAGAAGAATTTATTGAAACTACAATTGTTCGCTCTAAATATTTTGTTTTGAATAAATTATGGGAATATTTAATTCTCTTAATTAACAAAATAATGGCACTAATACCAATTGCTTGGTATTAGTGCCATTATTTTGGCAGTGTGCGTCGGTGGCATAGCGGTTAGGACGCTCGCCGACCATGCACATGGTCCGGGGTTCGATCCCCGGCCACAGACGCACTCCTTTACCTCGTTTAGCCAGAAACAAAAGCTAGTAAAGGGGAAAGGTTGGGCATGAGGCTAGCAACCTCATCCTGTAAAAATAAACACTGCTAAAGAAACTTCAAGCCTCTAGGTTGAAGCCCTATGTTCCACTGGGAACGTGAAGGAATAAAAAAGAAAAATACCAATTGCTTGTGGGATAACTGTTAACAAAATAATAAAAATTATAGTTTTCTCAATTTCTGAGAAATATATATATATATGTACTCATCTCTAGTGATGGCGTTTATATATAGATATGTTTATTCAAGTTTTTCTGACAATCACTTCAAAGAGAGTCATAAATTTTCCACTGAACCATGATTTTCACTGGTGGATTTAGCATGTGCGTGAGCGTACATTCTGAAGAGATAAAGGTAGGGGGTGGGGAAACTGTTAATCTTTTTTTATAAGCAAGTAAAATTTTAGTTAGTTGGGCATGATTTTCATTTGTTCACTATGATAATCGTCAAACCATCACTAAATGACTAAACAACAACAATAATAATAATAAAAATAATAAATAAGCATATAAACTCTATACCTGTGTTGTATGTATGCATGGATGAATGGATAGAAGATAGATGGACGGATGGATGTGTGGATGGAAACAGAGAAGCATTTCATATATATATATAATTTGCAAATAAAACGGTATAGACATATATACAGATAGACATTTAATAATAATTATTATTATTATATTTCTGTCCATCCATCTTCAACCTTTATTCATCCTCTTATTTGATTGTGATGCAAAAAGGTAAATAACAAGATAAATAACAAGTTTGAAATCAACTCATCATCATTACTGCTAATATGAATACTCCTCCGATGATGATAATGCACATTTATCCTACTGGTGAACGAATGAACAACATGCAACGGTGAATATTAAAATTTTGCGAAAATAATAATAATAATAATCATAATAACAATAATAGTGTGATAAGAATGGGAATAAAAAATATCGAAAAAAGAAAGGTGGATAAAAAATACTTCGCCCTTATGATACACACTATATATATGCATATTTCATGTTTTGTTTTCCTCAATTCACAAACAAGGGCAGTAAATGAATGCAAATGAATGAGATATAAATTTTATTTTGTTCGTCGTCGGGATATATTTTCATATATATAATTAACCGTTTCTATGGTTAGTTTATGGGTAGTTTAAACCACAGAATGTGTATGCCCTAGGATTAATAATAATAATATTAATAGTAAATAAATATAGTATTCTATAATATACACTGAATTAAATACATATTTATAACGAAATATGATCACGAACAACAGTCGAACGGTGATTAGTGGACAACTTTATTGAATTTTGTTTCCCTCTGCTTCAAGTTTGAAACGTGTAATATCAACAACAACAAAATTCACCCAAAAAAACAATTTCTCTTTTTTTACCAGTTCAACGTGATTCCATGTGTAATGTGTCTACCTGAAAAGTAAGTCATTCTGATATTTTTCTCTCTGTTTCCGTATTCCATTATGAATATGTTTCAAATGATTTAAATGATTTACGTATATAACACTCAAAAACAGACGGCAGTTAAATTATCTTGACCAGACTGGTAAGTACTTCCAATCTCATGATACAAAATGAATCGAGTGTTGCCTATCTTGGAGTCGATTTCTCTTCAAAACTTTCCTGGTCATCTCATATTTCTCTGATTTCTTAGAAAAACTTCCGTTTAAAATATTTTTTACAAGGAAGCTGATACTTTCTGATATAATTCAGTCTTTCCTCTCCCATTTTATTAATTCATGTGATCTGCCCCCCCCCGTCATTCTTCCATGGGCTTCTTGAAAATGACCGTGTCATAATAATGTAGGACTTTGAAGGTTGTAAGCAGGATTAGTGGTGTACATTTGACTCAACTAACTGATTTTTTAATTCTTACAAGCAGTTGGCCAAAGTCAGCCTTGTCCGATACTGAAAATCTTCTTTATTCTCAACTTTCTCATTGTATCTCTTCTAATTAAATTTATTTTACAGTTTTATTCCTTTACGTTCACGGTAGGAGAGTTGAATATTCGGTAACAGGGGGATTTATTTTTACAGGATGGACTTGCTACTAGCCTCATGCCCAAACTTGTCTCCTTAGCAGTCTTATTACTGGCTTAGTGAGGTAAATAATAATAATCTACTTTATTCCAAAAACAGTACTTATAATACAGAATGGAATTCTCAGTATTTGTCACAATATTGCATCTGATTTACTCAAAATATAAATAAAATTAAAACCAAATTAATCGGAGAAATTTGTCCACATTTACGACATAAAGTCAAAAATATTCGAAGCATGAATTGAGATTATTAAATATAATATTAATAATAATAACAGTGAGTTTGTTTCAAACAGTATTGTCGATTCAGTTTGGAAACTTTAGCATGTTATAGATTATTGGATCTAATGTTCTGTTGATATAGTATAGTGAGGGGAAATACAAAATTAACAGTTATAATACAGCTTAAATTATGTCCACACTTATGAAAAAAAAAAACGAAAAAATTGAGAGGATTATAAATATAAGAAATACAATAACAATAAAGTTTGATGTTGTAAGGGTGGAGGAAATGGTTTATTTAGTGGTGCAAAGAAGGTTAGTTAGTTCATGTCTGACACTATTTTCATCACATAAAGTACGTGCCAAATATGGTATAGTGGAATTTTTATACTTAGACGTACGTGCATAAATTCTTCTGAAAAGACTTCTTGTTTTACCTGAGGAGACACAAGGTTGGAGCTGCGGGTAGAGTGGGTGCTCAGAGTCTGACAAAATTCCTTTAGCGAATTTGTTGCATGACGTCAAGTGCCTATCAGTGACAATGTCAACGATATGGCCCAATGGGATACCACTCGTCCTACTGACAGTCTTCAGAGTTCTACGAAGCATGACATAGTCTTTTTTAAGCAATCCAGGAAAGAATAAGCAAGGGTGAACAGTAGAGAAGAATAGGTAAGATGCACGAGTTGACAAACTGTAAGAGGAGTCTAGAGGAGCGCGCTGGCCGGGGATTGAACCCCGGGCCACCTGCGTGGTTGGCGAACATTCTCCCGTTGTGCCAACGACGCACTCTTTGTATAAAACCAGAAGAAATTTCATAAGAATTGAAGCTCGAACAATAAAATATAGATATTCAACCATACTGTATTTAGCATGGGTGTTATACCAAGTGACAAATACCAAAATACAGCTGTTAAGACTAATTTATAATCTGTATAAACACAGCAACTTATTACCAGTATTATCATTACATCACATATTATTCGTCTATCAACCTGGAGTCATAGTGGTTTTAATTTTTTTCACTATTTTATATATTCATTTATTTGTTAAGCGAGATAAATTGTTGCAATAGGTTTAACGCTAAAAATTCTATTCTGTACGAAAAATTATTGTTCTGAATAAAGTAACTACTATTATTATTAGTAGTAGTCAATTTGACTGGTTTCTGACTACTCATATCAATCAGTAGTACATATATTCTTTCTCACTTTTGCTCAACCAAACTAGTTTTATGAGATATACTGTTTTCTTGAATGTCTTCATTAAATACAGCCATAAGTAACTGTATTGAAATTCTCATAAATGGATTAATGTACACTTTTGCATTCTGATGAAGTATTATGTCATTACTGTCATTTCTATTATTCTCTTGGGTCCCCATCGGAACATAAGGCTTCAACATAAAATCAACATTCCGCCCTGTTCTCAGTAGTCCTTTTTTAGCTCACTAGAGGATTACTCGTGGGCCTTCATTCCATTTTTACGTTGACTCCTTCCATATCACCCTCGGACCCATACCATACTCGTCATTTTTATATATTTGAGTTCCGCTTTAGGTCTGCCTGGCGTGTGGTGTCATTCAATGTGCTTCTCAGAGTGTGTTTAGTCTATCTCCACTGTCTTCTATATGAAGCGATCAAATAATAATCTTGGAACATGTTCATTCTGCTTAAATAATGAGCAGGAACCAGTAAAATCTTTCAAACTTTGAAGAGATGATTACTTTGTGACTTCAGTTTGTGATGAATTCAACTTTGTAGCGTTATCCTTCATTATATGCCTCATGTTTTTTATGGCTTGCCACAAATAACATCAATATTCAGCGATATGTCCAACTAAAAATTGACGGGTTAACTCACATACTCAGTAATGAGCTGTTCCTGGCGTATAACCACATAAAAAATACCCAGCTGTCTATATTTCTACGGGCAGAAACAAATGGAAACTGCACATTCTTGGTTAGGAGTTGACTTGAGGTAGCATTTCACAAAAATAAACTATAGTGTTTGTGAGACAAAGTAATTTCTTTCTTTCTTTCGAGATTGTACATATTTTCGACTCAGTGATTAAACATTACAGTGATAAGACGCTCACCAACCATCCCACACCTGTTTGAGTGTTCATTTCCTCGGTAACAGCACTCCTAAACCTCATCTATCCCATAAGCTGGGAGAAGAGGGAAGGTGGGGATTGAGGCTGTCAACCCTACTTTGTAAGAACAACACTGATGCTACTGAAACTTACAAACCTTAGACTTGAAGCCATACATATTTAACTCGGAAGACAAGAGGAAGAAAAAGAACAGTAATCTACAGTAATCGTCTTCTGTCGTCACTGCAAGTCGTTATGAAAACAAAACTCATTATACACATACAAGTCTTCACATACTGTACGTAGGTCTTTACTTATTCATTCTTAAGCCTAATCAAGACTACATTAAACATTCAAAAAGTCTTAAGCGAATCAGTATACCTACAAAGTGTTGACCATGTGTACTAAAGAGAATTTGACTTCATAATGAATGGACCCACAAAAAGATTGATTTAACCAGAGTTTCAAACAATAAACAATCTATCTCAAAAAAACTTCTATCAAAAAAAAGTAACCTTTACTGCTTGTTTCAAATTGTAAATGGTTCGTTCAGAATAAGGATTCAAACATTTTCAGTCACCCAAAAACCCTGTGAAATCATGCCAATATCTGATAACAGAAAGATTCTGAAAATACCTTTTGTTAAAAGTATCACAATGTAAAGTCTGTGAATAGATAACAGTTAAGTTTCCTCTAGGTTATCAAACATTATTATTATTATTGTTCCTTTGGGTTCCTAGTGGAACATAGGGCTTCAACTACACGTCTCCACTTGCTTCTGTCTTCTGCTGAACTTTTCACTTGCATCCATGTTAATCCATACTGTTTCAACTCCTCTTCACACGATCTCCTCCATGTCACTCTTGGACGTCCAACTCGCCGCTTCCCTTTCGGGTTCCACTCGAGCTTTGGCCTGACGCGCGATGTCACCCAGCGAGTGGCCTCCTCAGCGAGTGAGTGTCCAATCCATCTCCACTTTCTCCTGCATATTTGTTGGGCGATTGCTTCTTGTTTGTTTGTTCCCATAGTTTCTTGTTGGTGATTCTTTCCGGCCATCTGATCTTCAGTATAGAGCCAGCGAAGACAGTTAGTTGTTGATAAAGTTCTGCAACAGGCTGTTGGAAATATTCTTTGTGACCCACTGACCAAGTTTCTGATCCATCCGTATAGAAGAACTGACTGACTGACGTTTGTATTGAAAATCCGAATTTTGTTGTTGATGTTGAGTGACGAAGATTTCCAGATTGGTTTCAGGTTGATGAATGTGTTTTTCGCCTTCCCGATTCTCGATTTGACATCCTCGTCCATTCCACCTGCCTGTAGTTGAGACAATGCTCCCTAGATAAGTGAGTGAATGAAGTAACCTCTTTCAAATCCCTCCCGTTGATGGTGATTGGTGGTGGATGTTGCTGCTGCTGTTGTTGTTGTTGGTTGGTTATTTTCATAACCTCCGTCTTGTCTATGTTCACCTGGAGTCCTGTCTTCTCCAGTTGCTTCTTCGACCAGTTTGTCGGTTTTCGCTTGTAAGTCTTCGATTTTGTGTGACATCAAACACAAATCATCCACGCGCGAAATCCAGGTCTTCTAGATTCTTCACGTCGGTCCAGGATATCCCTGTCTTCTCGTTTCCCACTGTCTGACGCATAATCCAGTCCACCACAATTAGGAATATCATTGGTGATAATAAGCACCCTTGTCTGACTCCTGTGTTTACTTCAAACGCCTCGCTGAGTTTTCCGTTGTGGATCACTTGACATGTGCCGTTGTCGTACAGTTCTGTTGAATAAGGTTGATGAATATTTGGGGTACGCCGTAGTACTTGAGTAGTTTCCAAATTACTTCGCGGTCAACGCTGTCGAAACATAAAGTGACAAAATAAGTAAAATGTTTACGAACAGGTAAAATGAGTATTTATGTAGACCTGTAGTGTTTTTTTAAGATATCGGGACGTTGTCTTCATCAAAACCCATTGTACTATTATAGTCAAAAAACATTATGTGACTGATCTTTTGTAGTTAATGTATCCTTTAGCAAATTTGTGGTTAGCTGCTCAATTCAGATG